TAGCTTTCTGCGTAGGCCGGAACAATGAAGAGAGGATAGAGCAACTCACTTGAGGATTACGGTTTTTATTTGTGAACTTTCTGCATCTGTAGGAGCGACAGTTTCAATAGATGTAGAGGGCTTCTTCAAATCTTTATCAGCAAAACCTATACGCATGAAAGCGGAACATTTCAATCGAAATCGGCACCAGAAGAAATGAGGGATTATACAATGAAAGATTAAAGCACCTAATTCCAGTACCTTTTAGCTGAGGTGGTTTGATACAAAAGGACAAAACAACAAAGAAAAGCATTGCGATTGCCTCAATGTAAAACGCCCAGCGCCACCCGATATGGTCTCCGACCTGAACATGGAAAGCAAATAGTATATAAACATATATTTTCTTAGATGCAGAACACTTATAACCAGAAAAGCGTCAAGCATTTATACTTACATATCCACCAAACACGTAGCCGAGAGCAACTCCTGCTGGTATACACATGTAGAACAGTCCAAGCCAGAGATTTTTCTGGAAAGAAAAACACAAAATCAAATTAATTTTAACGAGTAAACTATCTGAAAACCGTAACAGTTAAGTAACCGAGTTGAAAAACTAACTCGTGCAGCAGGAGCACTATCATCAATATACGGTGCTGCAAGACTAATAAAGGAAGCCTCACCAACCCCAACAAACCTAAAAGCAAGTTCAACAAAGAAAAGATGTTAGTTAACATACAGAAACCAAACTGAAAAAGGTGGCGAAAAATAAAGGATACTCACATTCGAAATACAGCAATCATCCAGAAGTTGTAGGAAAAACCGCAACCAGTAGCAGCAATAGTCCAAACAGTTAATCCGACTCCGATTAGTTTAAAAGGATTGAAACTGCAAGCAACAGAAGGTAGAAATGATCAAAACTATTAACTTTTTCAGTATAATTCAAAAACAAGAACATATTAATACATGATTCTGTTTAACAAAAATCTCACCTTTTCGACAATCCAGCGAATATAGGAGAAGCCACAAGAAGTCCAACCATGAATGCAGATGACAAAAGACCATCGTGAAAGTTAGATAATTTAAACTCTCCCCTGAATCAAGACAAAAAAACACAAAGTTTAAAATCTTTCTCATAAACTCAACAACATAATCGATCGAAACTATAAATCAGAAAACAAAAAAAACTTACTGAATTCCAGTTCCTGGTGAGCAAACACCTTTAGCATCACATGTTCTTGCGCTTCCATTAACACCATTACTTGCAATCACTCCTCGATCCACATAATTAATCAAGTTAACAATACACAAGATCGCAACAAATCTACAAATAAAAAATACCTTCAAGAGTTAGAATCACTACAAATCTAGGTCAAAATCAATTTTGGGCACAAAGATTTCGTGCTACTTCCCTAAAACATGACTCAATCCTAAAAGATCCAACACACGATAAAACCATTTTCATGAAACCAGAGAGAGAAATCATTATCGTCATCATCGTAATCAAAAACCCACCAAAAGAAAAAGAGCGAAAGTGTCGATTTTTCTACCTTCCCGGAGTCCAAAATCGTTTTTTAGCCGACGTCGGAGCTTCTGGTATAACCGGAGAATCTTTCTGGCCAACTTTCGTCATTATCTTCTCTCTCAGATTTCGATTTTTCACACTCTGTTTTTCTGTGCTTAAAGGAGAAATCTTTATTATTTTTTTGATATATACAGCTCAGGATTCGGAATTCCGATTCCTGTTTTGATTTGAGGTATATTCTCTTCAGTTCTACAACAACAACAACTGTGATTTTTCATTCAAACTTTGATTTCTATTAGGATTTATCCTAATTTTGTAATTTTGTTATTTATCACATTAAAACAAAAAAAAATAAAAATAATAACAGCAAATATCTTCTCATACTTTACGGTTTCTGATTTTCCTTTTTAAAAAATAATAAACAGAATTGTGGGTGTAAAAATTCCCATTTTTCCAAACATAAAAGCTATTTTTAATTCGTTGAATGTTGAATTCACTAAAGAGTTCTAAATGTTAGTTGAAAAACATACAACTAATCTCACTAAACACATGGCAATAAATCACAAAGATCAATTTAAAAAATTTCGTTCAATACAAACCTTGAAGTTGCTTTATTTGTCAACACTCTGGTTAAGAAAAAAGTGTGTGTATATATATATATATGTTTTAATGTTATTTTGACAAATAATAATGAAAGTAATATGTTCATCTTCTATTCTCACAAGTTCTTAATGGAAGTATATGCAGAGACATGGATGTCACAACACAAGTCTTTCTCCATTGCTTCCATTATCTTTAAGTTCCACAACTTTGGATTCTTCTTCTGCAATCATTCGATTCAAAACACACATCTAATTAGCATATATACACACACAATAACTAATGATTCTGTTTAAGGTTAATGTTACTCACTATAAGGTCCAAAGCTTGGCTTAAAGACATGTTCCCAAACGTCGAGTCGCTAAACCCGGTGGTTTTGCGGTTAAGTTCGATTGGTACTGTTCCATATCGCAGAGCTTTGAGCTGCATCATATGAGAGAATCAGTAAACAGAATTTTTTTACAAATTTTCTTGTCTCATAGAGCAGTACTGGAGTTTGGAAACTCACATGGACTTGGAGAAGTGGATCATTAAAGTTCAGACACAACATAATGTCTGATCCAGCAAAAATCAGATGTGAAAAACCTTGCTGGTGTTCTGAAACAATCTTCACATTTCCTCCCTAACGAAGATTAATATTAACATCTCTTCTCTTGAGTGAATAAATGAAAGAAACAGAGAATTACTTTACCTCAAATTCATCTTGAATTGTCTCCAGCTTCTTGATTATCATCTGATCTTCATTCGTTAACATTATAACAAACTAAACAGAGGAAAAAGAGAAAACATTTAGTTAGATTCTTGGAAAGTGTATTACAGTCCGCAGAGAGAAAGAGACCGAGCATTTTGAACCTGGACATCATTCTTTTTTGTACTCCGAACAAGCGACTTCAAGCTTTCATGATCAACATCTGATATCTCTGAGAAGATGCACCCTACCTTAAAAGAGTAGTAAATATGTTATAGTGAATGCAATTAGCTCCACTTATAACTTTGATCTTATAC